TTTTGCCCGTGTGGTTAACTATATTATTTTTTGTTATATTGCACTATATTATAACTTTTGGACCGTAGTCGGACCGGACTGGAATTGAAATTGAACACTGAGCTATATAGTTTTAGAGTGGTTTTAGCACGACCGTCTCGCCGCAGTAATAAATCCTACTCTTTTTTTGGAACTTTAGGAACATGTTCCTAGGGTCTGTAACAGACCACAGCTTTCTCATTCCGGTAAAAAGGAACTGAATAAAGGTCGATTCACACACATCAGTTACGGCACGTCACAGTTAACAAAAAAATTCTTTAATGGATTTTCCATTGCGCTATCTACACTCCACCTGTTGCAGTTCCGTCAGTAGCTCTGCAGGCGTCCATCAGCACAGTGTCCATCAGTCAATTTCAGTTTTCTTTTCACCGATATTTTTGGATTGTTCGGGCGCCTGACTGACGTGTTTGAGGTTAGAAATTAGTATACTATTTAATTTAAATGATGGAATGTATATTTTTAGTAATGTTTGTATCAATCAACAACACGAACGATGAAAATTTGATAGAATATTGTGTTTTAATTAAACATTTTTGACTTTAACAACACTGTAAATAAAGTGACGGAAGAGTGACTGCAACCAAATGTGACTGGCAGTATGGTATGACTGAGACTTTGCGGATGCAACTGTTACTGGACTGATATGTGGAATCGACCTTATGTAACAGTTACAAGAAGAAGCATTCTTTAGTCTGCCCTTTTTTTGTCCCTTGTTTTGCTAACTATTGTTTGTGTATTATGTTGGTGTTTTTGCCTTGCCGTCACTCCTGTTATAATTATCTCCCTCTTCATAATTAATTAATTGTTACAATTCAAATCATACCAGCATAGTTTGAGATACAAGATTCAACCCTTAGATGGTTGACTGATTGGATTACCTACTTTGCCAGAGCTTAAACATTTCAAAATACTACCACTATAGTTCGGCCGCTTAGAAAACGACCTGCGCGCTAATGCTAAACCAATGCTGGAGGAGGTCGCTTTCTAAGCGGCCGACCTACTTACCCTAGGCACTTAAGTACATATAATCACCCATACTACTTCTTTAATTTTTGGAAACAAACATCAACTATCAACTCATGAGTAGTAAAATAGGACTATCCCAATAGATAAATAAATATTACAGGGATTCCTTTTCTCTCCGGTCTTATACATAAGGGAGTTATATGTGCTTTAAAGCTTCCTGTAGGCAAAGTCCCGAGTCACGAATGGCGAAGGGATGGACGAGGGACTATTCAGGAACGGTTCCATCAAATCTGTTCCACAGAGCAACACTTAACGCAAATGTAATAGTTGCAGTGAAAAAAGTAGTATTTATTACTGCAGCGAGACGGTCGTGTCTTCGCTCAGTGAAATTAAACGATATGGAAGATGTTCCGGACCCGATTAGATTGACTAGTTAACTTAAGTTTGGTTTGAGTTTTTTTGACTACGTTTTATGTAGTCGTACTCGTAGTCCGTCCGTTAGTCAGTCCGTTCAACGTTTTTATTTGTTTGAGTTTAGTTAGTTTGAGAGTTAACCTCACAGGGGTTAGTGCTTCTGTTGAAAATTGTGTAAATGCACAGTCTTTAACCGTTGCTAATGCCTCTCAAACTCGAATCATGCTTAAGAATGCCACTAGCGTATTTGTACTCCAGTAGGTATTGTTAAGTGTGGTTCTTCCTAACCTAACAAAAATTTAATATTGAAATAATTTCCTTACCAAAAATTGTACACGTAGGAGTCTAAGGATCTTAGCTGCTGCAATGTGCTATTTTAGGTGTAGGAATCACATTAACTTGCATTGTGTTGTTGGTTTAGCAAAGTTGTGAAAGACCATGCTATCACCGACGCACGATAATGCAGACATTTCCACTTTCTAATAAAGGAGCATTGCTTTGCTGGTGTATGCCATCCTAGGCCTACTAAGCCAGTAACGATACCTAGCTATTACCATAGATAAAACATACTCCCTTACCAAATGCTAATGTAATGCTATCGAGCAAGATAACACTTTCTTCTTAGGTCTTGCGTATTCATTTATCATGACAGTTAACATATGTTTTGGAAGATTTATTTAAGCAATGTTAAATAATGTTTATTTTCGGGCCAAAAACGTAATTTGTTTATGTTGATCCATGACTTACTAACTTACTGGTTCTTTTCAAGTATTCGTGGTTTTAACCATAACCAACCAATAGGCTTGATCAAACTCAAAACAGAAAGATAAATTCATAGTAACATTTGCCTATATAAGTTACTGAAGTACCCAACTTGGTTTATGTTACAAATAAAACTATTGATTGGTTAAGTTAAGCTGAAATAAACTAAACAGATTACAGCATTACAAACAAATCACACCAGATTTTAATAAGGTAATTTAAAGAATAACATACACATAAGAACAGCTGAGGTATTTTTAACATCAAGTACCGGTATATGGAAAGTTCCCCTTGAAAAGCAATTATGACCTTAAAGGGCAATTTATGAAATAATGGATAGTTTTGTGCATGGGTTCTCGTCATGACGAACATTTTAAGTACATGGTTTATGGGAGTGTGACTTATAGTTTTCTCAAAAGGTCATGGGTACTTTGGGCTTTATATATAGCTTTTAGGTACTTTCCTGTTAAAGGGAACATTCATTACTATCGATGATTTTTTTTCTCGATATACCGATATTAACGATTTCAAACATATCAGCTGACAACTACAATGAATAAATATTATTCAGTATTAACAAACAATATTAATTTTAAAATTAAAAAAACTGTTCTAAACTAACCTAACATAACCAACAAAAATAGAATTCTGTAGGTTTTAAAAAACATGCAAAGACTAGAGCAATCTTGAAAACGGGCGCAGTGTGTATACAATACAATAAGTTACAAGCAGTGTATAAATAGTTTCATAATCATTTGCAGAGACAAGTAAACTAGAAAAATATATTTATTCTTCATAAACATAACATGGGAATTTCAAATTTACAGCGATTTTATCCGTTAACCATTAAATGTACAACAACGCTTCTTTAAGCTATATTTTTTTTTAGTTAAAAAATAGTTTTACAAAGAAATTAAAGCTTATGTTCAAGGAAGGGGCAAAAATGTGAAAAACTAATTTTCAATATGGTTGTTGTATTATGTTTGTTAACCAGAGTTGTTTTTTTACCCATCCTGATTCTGTCAGGACAGTCTCGACTTCGGCCCTTATGCCTGTGTTTATCCTGGGGAAGGGCCAATCAATCCCCAACAATATTTGTTGATAGGGTACATCACATCATGAAAAATGTTTTTGACAGTCAGTCACATCCTCATAGAAAAGCTTTCTAACAGTCAGCCATATCCTTGTGGAGAAGGCTTGTGATAGTAGGTCATATCCTCATGAAAAGGTTTTGTGTTCGTCACATCCACATAGAAAAGGTTTGTGATAGACAGTCACATCATCACGGGAAAGGGTTGTAATGATCATTCACGTCCTCATGGACCCAACAGTCAGCTATTTCTCTGCTTATGCTAATAAAAAGAGTAGGACCGTTGTTGGAAATTATAAGAGGAAACAATACAATTTATTTTATTAATTTTCTTAATAAGCTCAGTTTAATAGCTAATACAATTTATTTGATTTATTCTCTTAATAAGTTCAATTTCATAGCTAATTACATTGTGTTTGTTAACGTTCCAGTCTGTATGTGTGGAGAAAATGATGACTACCAAATCTGAAGTTATGGGTGTGGTCAAACTAGAAGTTTTGAAGAAAACTGGCGATGTTCCAATGTTCCTGACATGGCCAGCTCAGCAATTCGGTAAGTTAATTGTTGCTATCTTATTGGGGTATGACTGATCAATGGCTTAACCACAGGACTTCTTGAGGTTCAGATTCAAATCCCACAAAACAATAATTTCTTTTAACTATGATGTTGCCATGACCCAGTCTTTATTTTATAACCAAAACAATTTTACGTCTTATAATTCACTCATTGGTAATCATTAATAATGTTGGAGTAAATTCATGCCGAACAAAAATTTTCTTACTTTGTAGGTGTGTTTAGTAAACAATCCTATTTTGTTACAGGGGAAACGTGGACCATTATAACAAGTGCCTACAAAACAGAACTTGATTTAAAGACACACATAAAAGAAAACATTGCTCACACAGCAGACGAAGACCAGCGTTTGTTCTTCATAACCGCTTGGGTTAACCAGCCTTATGTCAGCACCAGCGTGGACACAGCAATTGAGGCCTTACTTAAGGAAACAGGCCACCGGTAGGAAGAAAACAAAAAAGGAGTCGTGATGTTAAGTTACTTAATGTTCTCGTTTTACTTATTAAAATTTTATTTGAAGCCATTTTAAACTTTAAATGTTTCACTTATATCACCTGTTTGCTAAATCCTAATTGATGAGTCAGTACTAGCTCAGTTGGTAGCAAACTTCAAATCCATGACAGCAATGTCGTGGGTTCGGATCCTGGTACCTGCTACTAAATTGTACTGTATTAGTACAGTTCGTTACCCAGCCTGACCCCTTGTTTTGCTGGATTTCTTTAAAAAATGCAGTTCAAATTTATATATTTTTTGTACTTTAATGTTGGGAGATAAGCTAACTGAACTCTATACCTTAAAAATCTTTAAATCCTAGCATTGTGTGCAATTTAGATCAACTTTAGATTGACTATAGATGTAAATTCAGTAGGCATTTCATTGTAGTATTAAATTAACATATTTTTACACTGCATCAAAACCGGTGGTTTTCAAAATACAGCAGAACTCTAATTATACTGATCAAATGGAACCAGACCTCATCTGTTAATAAAAAATCTGAATGATTGGATTTTCAAGGCAGATGTGTTCAAGAAAGACACGAGGCACTGGGCTTATCACCCGCCAATTGATATAATATTACAATTGACTTGCCACAACATGAATAACTTGTAATGTACAATGAAATATCACATGATTTCCAGGCAATAACTGAGGAAAATACAACTATATGATTTTATTTACAAAACCTAACATTTTGCCATCAAACTAAACAAATGTTTTTGCAATAGCTAGTAGCTTAGTATAATCTACACCCTTGACTCCCAAGTTCTTCTTCTTCAGGATTGTTCTCAACATGATTGGTATTGGAAGAGAAATGCGAGTGCCCAAAGGAGATCCAGCTTCATCTATCAGTACAATATTGTTGGTGTCACACGAAGGAATATTTTTCGGTTGTTTCTTCTTCACGCCGACAATAATGGCTTTCTGTTTCTCTCCTTTTATGGCCACTAAAATTTTATCCCCTGTAAAATAGTGAAATTAAATTATTTTGTGTATAATAAAATAGTGATTTACTACATGTGAAGTATCTTCAGCCCATTGCACTACTGGATTGATTTTAATCAAATCGGCTCATCCGAACCTTTACCTATTGATACAACTAGACATTCTATCCCCAAGTTAAAGTTGTCGCAAGTTCTTAAATGAGAAAACTGTGCTCATCTAAATTACTATATTTACTATATATAGTAATTCTGTCAAATATACAAACTACTTTTCCCAAGTAAAAATAATGTAATGTCTTATTATTAGCTATAGCAACTGTTATGACCCATCAACCCATCTACATCAGCAACAAAATATAAGGTAGAAAAATAATTTTAGACACTAGCGCATTCTGTAACTGGCTAACACAACTGTGTTCATTTTTCCAAATAAATTGTGACAGCTGGTTCGTCGATGTCCAAACACACAGAGTGAGACGATAAACTTGAGTCATTGTTATTCCATCTGTTGGCAAATAATTTTCATGGCTCAAAATATCTTGCTTCTAGTAGGTATATTGATTGAGTTATTAGACTATTTACTCATTGATAATTTTACCTGTGACAACAGAAAATACTTGCTAACAAACGTAGAAGAGAGTCAGACTTCATTATATTGAATTTTAGCCTCCTGATCGCATTTAAATACTATAAATTGGTGTAAAATACCTGCATTTATGCGATCTTGTGTTGTAGCTGAGTTGCTACCGGTTTCAACTCACATTGGAGTCATCTACAGGCAGTTATAAGATGTCTTCTCGCTTCATTCGAAGGTCGTCAATGGATAATAAATAAATAAACAAAACACAAACACGTATAAGGACATAAAAAAGAACATTTAAAGCTGTAAAATACTGAAAACGGTAGGCCTACGGGACACGACACGACGTGATCGGGCGAAAGTTATGTCTAGACTGTCCGTATACGTGTTTGTGTTTTGTTTATTTATTTATTATCCATTGACGACCTTTGAATGAAGCGAGAAGACATCTTATAACTGCCTGAAGATGACTCCAATGTGAGTTGAAACCGGTAGCAACTCAGCTACAACACAAGTTCGCATAAATGCAGGTATTTTACACCAATTTATAGTAAGAGAGTCAGAATTGATTATAGTAGGGCCTATATTAAGAATTTTTTTCAAACAAAAGCTAAAAGATTATAGAATGGTGGCTGTAGAAATTTGGATTGGTCTAACTTAAGGGTGCGCTCTACCCCTACTTGCAACCGAATGCAAGGGTTTGCAAGATTACAGTTTTCACCTGCTACATTGAACGTAGAATCAAAGTTAAGGTCTCATATTAAAGAGGGTGAAATTTTCTATAGTTCTGCGTTTCATTATTTCATTTATTTTTAATACACACCTTATAAACTTGATTTGTAGGACAAGAAAAAAGGTCTTTTCAACTAGCCCAAACTTATTGAAAAAACTTTATTTTAAAATTTTAAAAACCCACAGTTTGGTATTTGCACTACTATAAGCCGTTTAGAGTGCGTAGCTATCATTATTGGTTAATTGGAAACCTCTGCAAGCGCTTCTCGCGGCGCTGTCCAATGGTGCAACATAGCAACTGAAGCCCGAGCTGAGGTAGAGCGCACCCTTAACAATAGACTTCTAAGCTCAACTTGAGATCACTTCAGTCAACAACTTGTTATAGTTAGGTATTTAGTAAAGTGATAATTATATTGTTTAATTATATATACACATAACAAATATATACATATAAATATCTAAATATATACATATTAATAGCCATGTTTGATCATTGCATGCGATGTTGGCAACGCCATAATAATTAATTGCAGTCACTTTATTCGCGTCTTACACAATCACAGCAACATCCGCGATAATCTACTGTGATTATCTCAGCATCAATGACTATAGGCCTATTTGTGATTGCGGCCATATCTCTGATCATATCTTAATCGCGGCGAGATTCGTCATGATTTTCCTTATCGCGGCAACAGCCATGATGATTTCTGGCGATTGCCATTTGATATATTCAATGCTAATTCGTAATGATTGTCATTCGAAAGTCTTTGGAAAATTACAAGAAAACATATAATTTGGTAAAATAAATAACGTTTTTCTCGCACTGACGTCACTATGCACACACCTTCTTTCATAGGCCTTGGGTTTAGTCCTATGGCATTTGATTAAAGAACTAATAAATTAATACATTTTAATAGTAACGTAAATAAATAAACTTAGCCTATAATGGAATCATAATGATGACATATTTTTGTTTACTATCAACAAAACAAAAGGACGACGCCATCTTGCCTCTAGTATTTTGAAACAAATTTAGGACATACCAAAGGGGCGTGAAATGAAATACTGTACCGGTACCACTCATGATAAAATCTATTGCTGGCTGTTTTCGGAAAAATACAGCTGTGCAGCGTAATACCTACAGGGCCAGATTTCCCAATAGGCCCGGGCCTATGGGCGCGAGCTCCCAGAGGGCGCAAGGCGGAGAGAATTTTTTTTTTTAATATCTAAAAATAAAAATAAATAGTCATAGTTGATTAAAAAAACTCTGGCTAATAAATCATTCTGATTCTGAAGTTCACAGAAAGAAATGATTGTTAGAAGATTTAAACTATTTCTCAGAATTACGCATCAATTTCGTTACAACATTGGTACGGGAGGCTGTAGGGATGTTGACGAGCGCCCCAGCTGTACGCATCGTATTGCCACTGCACTGCTACTATGTTGGCTCGGTGCTACTGATCGGAGTAATGAGGGGCGCATGCGTGCTAGACACTGTTACCACAAAACACGCAAAACAAATAACTCACAAAACAAAAGTTATTGACTAGTCTTTCGATTAGTTTACAACAATCTGCAGGATCAAGTTAAAATATATAATAGGCTACGTTGTGTTGAATATTTAAAAAATGATTCATTTATCTTTAAAATTAACAAAAAAATATTAATTTCAGTTTGCAACAGGGTTTTGACTAATTCAATAACCTCCAAAGCACCATTAGCTGTAATTTTCTCCTCAGACCTCGGATCGGTATGGTTGGCCGGAATATTGCTCTGTAGTCTGTTTTGCTTTGGAAAAATAACCTAGATGCAGTACCACCATAGATTAAATATAACTCAACTCGACTTCCTATCACATTGTTGATTCAAATTCTTTTTCATGTCTAGTTCACGTTGGTGACACTGGGTGTTAGTTTTGACGTACGGTACTTTTGTTTCTATTATTTTAGGGTTAGTTCTATGATGTGTTTTAATTTCTTGTAATACTGTATAACCAGGAGACGACCTATTGTTTATGATTATATCGTTTTATTTTGGATAAACTAAGTTTAAATAACAAAAATTGTTTTCAGCGAATCCATAATGATGACGAATCTACTAAAGGAGTATGTTTAATCTATGGTATCACGTAGGCTACTGTGTAGTATGGAGTTCATGTTTTTAGGTCTGAAATTGGAATCAATGGCCATGTTTTTTGCAGGAATGCTCGGTGGATTGAGTTGAGTTGTTTAGTTGTTATGTTTCAGTCCGTCAAACGTGAGCATATACTAAAAGCATAAGATTGCTTAAAGTGTTTAACACGGCATTTTGTTAAGGCTAAATTAGTCAATTCTTAAAAAAACTTGCAATGATAAAATTCCGACGAGGAGTGGTATTCAAGGAATTAACTTAGGCCTATGGGTATGATAACTTTGACCAGACTAGGGGGCGGAAAATGATTTGGGCCTAGGGGCGCCGAAATGCTGAATCCGGCCCTGAATACCAATATGGTCAAAGATAATGGACACTTTCGCTCACACGACAGTATCAAGTTCATATAGGCTCTACCAGGAACAAAAATTGGTCATACAAAAGGGGCGTGGAATGAAAAACCACTCATGTTAAAATCTATTGCTGGCTGTTTTGCGGGAAAATACAGCTGCACAGCGTAATACCTATAGTCGTGTAATAAATGAAAGCTTCACGCACACGACAGTCTCAAGGTCATATAGGCTACCAAGAACAAATTTTGGTCTTACAAAAGGGGCGTAAAATGAAATGAGAGGGTCGATAGATTGAAAATAGACAAAGTGCTCAAATATCACTTTGTTTATAGTAACTTACCTTTACAATAGGCTATGTGATTGTCTTTTATTACATGACTATATAGGTATTACGCTGTGCGAGTGTATTTTTCCACAAAACGGCTAGAAATAGATCTTAACCAGGGACGTATTTAACTATTTGCCGCTTCTAGGCAGTGAATAAGTTAGCTGGGGTATCCCATACCCCTTAGGTAAAAGGGGGTCCGGGAAAAATTTTAAAAATAGGCCTATAGGCCCTAAAACAGTCTTTTTTAGCTCTGAAAATAATCAACCCCAACGTCAATACAGTATGATTATATAATTTTACATTTAATTTAATGAAAGAAATATTATATTTAAGACCAGAAGGGGGGTCTGGACCCCCAGGACCCCCCCCCCCCCTGGCTACGTCACTGGGTATATGACCTTGACACTGTCGTGTGAGAGAAGATGTCCTTTATAACATGGATGTATAGGTATTACGTTGCATAGCCGTATTTTTCTGCAAATCGTCAAGCAGTAGATTTTGGTAAAAATTCACTTTCCACAACTCACTCATAACGCATTTCTTGTAATGTGAAACTGTGTAAAAACTGTATTATAATTGAAGTCTTGCACTTGACTGAGGGGCGGAAAGGTCATTTAACAAGTTCGCTACTGAGCTGCGGTCATTACCACAGACCGAGGTATACATTTGAATCTTACACATAGACCAGTTGTCACTTGGTTAACAGTACACACAGACCACGGGTGAAAACCTGTAAAACAGTGATCATTTACATTGTAATACGCTGCAATGCTGCAATCATGTTTGTAAATAATTTATTGTTGATTTTTTGTATTTTTATAAAATTTTGCAATGTCACATATTTACGACGCCCGGTCTGTAGCGATGACAATAGTCAACATTTTTATAATTTTCTTGAAATAGCCCAAACGCCGCATATATGCGACAGTTCACTTTTGTTTTTGTTATCAAAGAAACTCACTTGGACTCTTGGACAACTAAAAGTCACTAATTAAACATCACGGAGACTCACTAGGCTAAACAAAAGCACGCTCACGTTCTTTGAGGTTATACGCACAACAAGTGGAAAGTGATGCAGCAATGTAAACAAAGTTTTTCTAACTGTCGTATGACGTCACTAATCATCATATCCACAGACCAAGCGACGCAGATATGCGACAGACATCCCTGTAGACCACTGCAGTGAATTCATGGCCTTCAAATAGACCGTTGCAAAGATAGACGCATTTTAATAACATTAGAACGCCGACGCAAATATACGACGGCAGTCTATTATAATGTGACTAGCCGTCGCATATGAGCGACGGCAGTCTATGGGTAGAAACCGGCCATCGCATATGTGCGTTGCTGGTCCATGTGAATGAAAAATTTCGTACTATTGCAGTAGGTAGCGAACGTTTTAAACCAAAAAATACGACCAGAAAACTGTATTAATTTCGTAATTATGTCCATAACATCATAAGTACACCATTTTACACAATTCCACACTTCAGAAAAAATATAAATGTAAACTTGACTACCGTACCAATAACCAACACCTAACGTAATTAGAAAGTGATAACAAGCTATGAAAACACTTAGGCCTACGCAATCAATGCCTTCTTAGAGTCAATGACACAATCAACGCTGGGTATGGTAAAGCTGGCCGGCAGCTTTGAAAAAATGGTGGATGCGTTCCAGTGGCGAATAGCGTTTTTTTTTACTGGAATCCCACTAAATATTGCTAAATATCCCACTAAGTGGTGGACAAGAACACATATCTGGTCAACAGATAAATGAGAGTTCTCTAGGAAGGTACCTGCCCGTGTGGAGACATTTAACGGGACCACTGCCGCTTTCTCTTCTTGTTAACTGACAACCGCAAGTGACAACGAAAAGTGAGATCTTCCACGACCAGCGGGCACAAATTACCATATTGAGTGCTAGCACTTTCCCGGCTCATCACACCGTGATTTACCATAAAACGATACTACCTGTCAGTATGCGATCTATACACACAGTCCGAAATCTTTACGTTGCACTGAGGTTCGATCACCACAGCCATCTTGAACAAACTACTTAAACCAGCGAAACCAGTCCAAAACGAAGAAAAGGCACTACAGCCAAATACCCCAAAATATTGTATTGCCAGGTTCACACAAGTCCTAACCTGACGAGCTAACCTAATATAACTTAATTGACAAATAGCCTAACTTAGATAGCAGGAATTCCTTACCTATTGTTCCAATTCCTTTCTTGTTGTAGATGTGAATGCACTTAGGCGGTTTCCCTTCGGCCATAGCTTTCTGTCCCAGTTCACTGTTGTCTACCACCCTTAGCCTGGTTAGTTTCATAATGTGATTTTTCGGAGCCGAGAAATGAAATGCTCGAGAATAGAAACTGCTGATGAATGCCATTTTAATAGAGCGGTCCTCTCTTTAACCTGTAACATAAAATACTTATGACCTTTTAAGTCATTGCAAAGGTCTAAAGTTTAAGTTATTTAATATTTTAGCCACTAAAGTTAGATGACAGGAAATGCCTAACTTAAGTTAAACCGTCATCTGTTTTTTGATTGAAATAGTTCTCACAAATTACCTAAACGATGGTCAAATTCTAAACCAAGGACAGACTAGGTATTAAATAAAAATATCATTAAATATAGGCCTACATTAGACAACTAAACTTATTACAGTTTTTATGGTGAAGTAGAAGGCCTTAGTAAGGTTAGTTTTCACTATTTCACTGTTGTGTTTTCTTTCAGATTCGGTAAAGAACAGCTGACCACTTCTAATTTTTTTTTCATATCCCTTCTCAATCCAATCCTAGTATAGACAGTGAAGCTGTCGAGTCAGGAAAATTTTAATCTGTCTATAAACTTTTCAAATCTATATAATTAATACGCTACATGAAAGTTTGTCGGTTGAACTCCTCCGCCATTTCATAACCGATTTTATTCATTGACGTCTCATTGGAAAGAGCGTGTCGTGTAGATTTGCAAACTGGCCTTACATTTTTTTAAAGTCCCTTGGGCTCTGCCCCAGTGGCTTTGAAAGTTCCCATGTTATCCTTATTAAGAACATAATTGTTTACATTTTGATCAGCTGTATAATTTAATTGTTGTTATTTATTTTTCAATTCAATGAAACGCACTGAGTACATTTGTTTACTATTTGAGTTTGTGTAAACATAACCCCAAGGTGAATCGTGTTAGGATGGTTGTACAGTATCTTAAATTTGTGTATTCATCGTTGTTTTGTGTCGCTATGACGGATCGTGTTAGCATGATTGTAACTTAAATTTGTGCATTTATCGTTGTTTTGTATAGCTATAATTTGTTTATTTGTTGTTTTTTTCTTTTAAATGCCTCCGACGCGACGACATCGAAACATAGACAGGATGCGTAGTCGTGATAACGACCGCAGCTACAGAACAGTGTGTCGCGTAATAGCATAGATTAAACATTTTAACAGGCTTAACTCATCACATTCAGCACCTGACCCTGGTCAATCTCAACTATTAGGTTACAAATGCGCCCTAACACTACCCCAAAACGACTTTTCGTTCTCAATTGGCCCTCTATCAATGACCTGTGTTGCCTGTACAGCGAGGCATTTTGAGAAGGAGAAAACCGGCCGGAATGCTTTAGGTTTATCAATAACGAAGATAAATATGGTCTGATTTACACACCAGTAATCTTAGAGTTGACTCTTTTAAACTCATTAAATATGACTGTTATTCGTTTTGAAATAACTCCTGTAATACTTTGCAATTGCTCGAATTCGAGCAACATGTACACTAGTATTATATTATTTCATCACCCGCATCGCCATGGTGGAAGGAAAATTGGAAAATTCACTTCTACCATGCCGCATCCCATTATAGAAAAGTTATAAGTAGATAACTTATTCCATTGATTATTCATCTTCCAATGGAACATCTCTTGGGAGATGTGTAACCGTTAGGCCTATATTACTGATAAAGTTATTAGTATATTACTAACTAGCTGCAACCCGCGGGCTTTGCCCCGTTTAACTTCTTAATTTTCAATATTATCTCGTTCGCATGGCTCAATCACGTCCTGGTTGAAGTTTGTTCGCTACGCTCTTTCACCTTTAGGTTGGAGCTCGTTCGCTACGCTCACTCACCTTTAGGTTGAAGCTCGTTCGCTGCGCTCACTTGCCTTCAGGTTAGTTCGTTCGCTACGCTCACTCACCTTTTAGCTGTTGTCATAAATAAATACCCCAAGTCGTTGTCATACATGGCTATCCTATAAAGCATGACAATCATAGTCTATAGTCTATTTAGATAAAAATATTGATTCCATAATACCTATAGTTTTTGAAACTGCTGATTCATGTAGTTGTTTGAATTCCCAATCACATAAGATAAATATTATTTGTTATAACCTAATTTAAGTTATAGAAATAAAACCTGTAAAATACTGTAGGTAGGCCTGCCTATTCAATAAGTGGTTGTTTCCAAATGGCGTGTAATAATTTCTCTGTAGGCCTATTATTAGATCAGTGGTCATCATCTGAATGTTTATCCTTTGTACTGTGTTTAGGTCCTATATTGGCTTGATTTTGAACATATGATATGATTATTGGTTTTGTTTACATTTACGTCATTTGTTTGTAAACCATCATATAAACCCATAAGGCCAATGTTAACATTTAAAAACTTTCAGTTAGGTCTACTTTTATTTTTATTATCAAAAATTGAAATTGTTTCGTCTTAAACCTTCCAAAGATTAAATGTTTCGTTGTTGTCGCATTAATAGTAAAAAAAATTTCATTCATATGGACCAGCAATGCACATATGCGATGGCCGGTTTCTATCCATTTGTCAAAACAACCTTGGTAAGATTGGCTAAAATATGTTCAGCCGTTATTGAGTGATAGTGTTAGAAAGTTTTCATTGAAGCAGATCCCAAAGAGCTTTGCTTCACTCCGCTAAATTAAACAAATCAAATAAAAGTCTGTGAAAGATAATATTTTTGGGAAGAGTTCAATAAGGAACTTAATTATTTTTCTTATTACTTTTATGCTTAAGTAGGTATTTGGTGTAAACAATGAAATATATAAGAGGCAATAGCTATTTGTGTATTAAGAGCGCAAAGAACGTAATTGCCGCTCAAGAACTGTAGATGAAAGTTTCGTGTAGCCATACATTTCGAGAGCGACAATGACAGTTTGTACTCATAGACACAAGATTTTTCCTACCACCATGCATTTTTTCTTTGGAAAAAGCAGTATTTCAGCTCCACCACACCATGCTAGGAGTACATATTGATGGAAATACAACCTCAATTCTAATTATGTAGAAAATATCAGATATGTACCATAGGTACAGTAATTTAGTTGTATATGTAGTTCAAATAAGTTTTTTCTCATGTAAAAAAAATGTGTTTTAAAAGGAGTTTCAGCTTTAACAAAGCTATTAAACTTATGACATTCAAATCCATGTTTTTTAGCCCCTGAGCTGATCTTGTGACTAAATCAATAAATAGAGTTACCTTCGTCAATCAGCTCATAGTAGTTGTAACATTGTTTGTTACGGCCATTTCAGCATCTCCGTGCCATCGTCATCAGACATTCAGCCTTAGTGGCGTCGTTAATATACAAAAACACAAACTGTCACACGCGATGTATACATACATAAACATAAACGGGGGTTTTTTAATAAACAGGCCTGTTGATTACACATATCCGCACTTGAGCAAGTACAGTAACTGACTGAGACGATATGCAATATGAAATATGTTTATCACGTCCTAAACTCTATAAACATGTTTAGCGATAATAGCTCTAAGATCACTTGGTCATCCGGCTAAGTTACAGTAACTAAAGTACCAAAGGTTTAGTAGGTATGTTGTGACAAAAAGATCTGTAGTTTCTTCAGTGAATGTATGGAAGGAGGGGAAAACCTTTTTTACTTGTGAGTTGTGAATATGACTGCTTTTGCCGAAGCCAAAAACCAGCTAGGGATCCAATGGTCTCAGTAGTAGTGAAGTAGACTAAATTTGTAAGATTTATATTACAACAACCCGTGGTCCGAACGGCAAAGCAATAAATCACAGGGCCGAACTTACCTAGGGGCGGACGGGGCGAGTGCCCGGGGCCCCCGGGCCTAGGGGGCCCCGAAAGGGGCCCCTTGCACAGTAGTTTTTATTAATATCTTCGAAAATTAATCAGACACTTACCGAATGGCCTTCTTTTTTAACAGCTTTATTGTTGTTATCCTATATGTAACGTGCCTGTTTTGAGGGGGGGTCAAACTAGCCTATTCCTATGTCTAGCCTATCCCTAGGCATAGCCTACCAGCCCCTAACTAAGGTTATAGGTTAGAAGGCTAACCTTAGTTATAACATCATCAGTAAAGTATAGGCATGATACACTGTTGTGTTTGGTAATAAATAAGTGTAGAACGAGAGTTATTAATACTGTTTAAGGTTATTGTTCCAAAATTCTTGACTCTAAGGGACTTTTCCTCAGGGTTCGCGCTTGTTAGACCTAGTTAACACGAGCATAGCTGCTAGGATGTGACGGACCAGTTTGAGTTTCAATGAAGCCGTCCACACAAACGTACGGCCGCGGCGATCGAGTTGAAGGGGGCCCCTTCGCTTGGGGCAAAAAATACAATAAATAATATGAAGACTCTTGTCCTAACGTAGAACGTAACTTGTACAATTATGTTGGGTTAAATGGAGATTCAATGGAGTTCTAATACTTTTGAAAAATAAAAACATTGCTCTGTTTATGTTTTATTAGATGTTATTATTTTACCTCTAATTATATGCCAATCACGATTTTAAGGGGCAGAAGTATTATATTAACCATTCAATAAAAGGTTTTGTAAAATAGTAATTAAGTTATACGTCAAAATTTGGATCTTCAATTTAGTCGTTAGAGTCAAAATCATACAGCGCCAGTAGGATAAAAAAATCTATATAGACATTTTATGACAACTAGGGTGAGTTGTTTATATCGATGGGGTCGTCTGATGTTAACAAAAATTACATTATTTGGGAGCGGGCGAGAGTTGTCGACTGAAATCGTAAAAAAACAACAAGCAGCTGCAACAATAAATGATAATGAGCTGATAAGGGATCCTGTCTAGTCCTGTCTGTCTCACGCACGCGCATACACATACATATACAATGCCTTATCGCCTATCCAAAAAAAAACTCCTAGTGTGTTTTTGGTTGACATTGTCGTACTTTTGTGTTGTATTTTATTAATAATTCTGCAAACACTACAAAGAACAAATTAATGTTGTATTGAATGTTATGTTTGTGTTGTATTAATCTGAGATATTGAATACATTTAAACATCTTTCAGTTACTCATATAAATGGTTAGCTTGTGATTGGTTATTAGACTTGTATTGTAACATTTTACTCGTCAAGAAAAAACTCAAACTCGTTAAACTTCTTAATGGTACTTTTCATGCTAGGGCTTTAACATATTATACAAACGAGAATTCCATGCCAAAACCACTATGAAAATAAACATAAGTCATAGTTTATGGTTTTAGTGCAGCCAAGAAATGTAGGAAAAGGGGGTTTTAATTGCCATGCCAAAGTGACCAACGTATCAGAGTGGGAAGTGACATTTTTTTTATAGGGAAAATAACTATGTTCTAAACCTTATAATGATTAATCTATAAAAAGTAAACTTTAAAATTGTTTTGACTTGTATCTTATAAACTTAGTAAAAGGTTTGTTAGTAAAATTATAGTAAGTTATAAAATATATCAAAGCTTTAAAAGTTTACATAGCGGTTTTAAATATTAATAGTTTACACTATGAAAAACGACAATAAAGCACTTCATTTCATTTCATTTCATTTCACTTCATTTCATTTTATGCATTATCTCTGACTTACATCACAGGTTTAAATATAACTTATTCCATTAATTAATGTTAGTTATTTTTTATTTGTGTTTTCATTCAAGCACCAAATAGAATGTGTATTACAGTAAAAAAATTAAATTAAACCTTTTACAAGTACGTGTTATTTTATTTTTATTTTATCTATAGTTTTCATTATTTGTTGCAAAGGATATTACATTTTAATGTATTGCAAAAAAATGTGTAAGGTACCTGCTAGGTATATTAAAATTTTATAAATACAATTACAACAAGAACAAATCATAACATAACACCGTACATTGTAGCTATTTTCAGACTTACAATATTACATAAAATTAGTTTATGCAAAATACAGCATACTATTCTAACAGGTTTACATATTAATTCACATTGAAATTGCCTATTTAAAATTAGTGTGCATGTTATATGCGTTACATTGTGTACTGTATTTGTTCTCGTATAATCATACTGGGGGCCCCATCAGCAAATTCGCCCGGGGCCTCTGAAGTCCTAAGTCCGGCCCTGATAAATCACAAAACAATTTAGCAAACTCCCCAGTAGAAGTGGTATTTCTGCTGATTGCAAGGAGTAATGACTTTCGACTATTAAAAATCTAATTATTTATTATACTTTTTCAGACTTTGGTGCCTGCTTTTCCTTCCAAGAGGATGGCAAGAAATGTACAAAACTGGAGTCTATCTTGCAGTATATCTTTCTTTATTCACAAGAGTTGTTATATTATTCCCTGTCACTCAGGCACTCAGGTATGATTTGAAATATGGTAAATTTTTACTCTCTTATCTTATCAGGGGCGGCTCGATCCAGAGGGCTGGCCTACCCAAAAGTTTGGTAGATATTTCAAAATTATAAATAAAAAAAGAAATTTAACCGTGTTTAAATAAAGGGAAAGCATTCAAACTAATTATTTTTCATTTAAATTTTCAAATTACCCCTTTTTGCGGGTAAAGCCCTTCAAATTTCTTGTCCCCCCCGATCAAAATCTTTCTTGATCCTTGTCAGGCCTACCCAAAAAACTATTCCTTGAGCAGCCTCTGTTGGATAATCATCTTATTTGCTCCCTCCACATGTTTGGTAATCTCTGTAATATGCATGATTTTTCTAGTTACTGCTCTGGAAAAGCAAGACGCTGTTATATACGTTAGTACCAACTATGAGAGTTATTCAATACCATCGCCCATTAATTGGCTTATGACTTTATGTATGTACAATACCATATGCCCTACTACACAAATAAATGACAAATGTCTGTCTCACAATTTTCTCATTCAGTGCTATCTCCAGTTGTGTCCAGTTTAGTGGTCCACTGAAACACACAAGTAGACATCCTGTCTAGATATACCAGCTGTAGATTGTTTTTGGCCAAAGAGTAATGCGCTCTCCAAGTATGAGCCTCTCAAAGAGTTCACTTTTCTCCTTTAGGATATCACACTACAAGAACTAATTGACAACTCTTTATTTTTTGCACTTCCAGTTTGGTATGGTACCGGTAAGTAAAGTTAGTGTGAGAAAACGAAAAACAGCTGATTTACTGCTGCTCTCTCTGTCTGTGACTGTGTTGAACATTGTTAAGTGTTGTTGTCAGATTAGGTATTGAACATAGTTGTGAACTAGCCACAATAAACCATCAAATTTATCTTCCTTTATCTACGTCACTAACTGATTCTATGAATAGTTTTTCAAAGCTAACACCTAGAAAATGTGAATGCCATCTTTTAAATCTATAAAGGGTTCAAATAAAAAGATATTTTTTTTCTTTTTTGCAGGTACTTTAATGTCATATAATTATTGGTATATATAATATTTAACATAATATTAATATTGTGACGATCAAATCACTATACAGTTGTTCGTCGGTAACCATTTAAATTTTGGTACTTAACATAGTCTCTATACAATAGGCTATAGTAAAACAAATTCATTGTAAAAATATACAGTACGATATTAAAACAAAACTTTTCATTGACACAAACTATACAAAAATTGAAAGATACAGGGTAGCACGAAGAGTGTGCTTATTTAGGCTGTTATCACAGAACGCTATCTTGGGAGAGGAGGAAGAAGCTATGGGAACCGACACTGAATCACTGAGGGGGAAATGCTTCATGAAGCAACTTAACATAAAAATAATCACTAACAATAACAACACATAACTTGCAATATAAATGGATAACATTGTAACTGAATGATTGGGACTTTTTGGGAGTTTTATTGCGATATTGCTCCTCTAAGTTGGATACATTCATATTGCTCAGAGTAATTGAACATAGAACAACTAGATTATACTACACATTTACTGGAGGTAATTGATTTTAAAACCTGTGGTAAATTGACTTGTAATTTGACTTTTAGAAAGGTTAAATAAAAAAAAAATAGTTTACATTTTTAAGTACATTTGTAACTACTGAGGAGCTTATTTCAAATAATGAAGGTGACTTAAACAAATTTAATATCAATTGATTAAAAATAACAAAAATTGTTACCCTAAAATTAACAAAAACAAAATGCAAGTGAACAAAAAAATTATATTTCCTTAAACATATAATGATAAAATTAATGCTACTTAACAGAATTGCAAATATTCAGTAGTCCAGTGATTCAGTAGTCTCATAATAGCTGAAGGAGCCAAGCTCAAAAAAGAGAAAGAAATTGTCAACGATAAGGCCCAAATAAAGATAGGCAAACACGTGTCGACGTGCTAAGATCATGATTGTTTAGGCACCACCCAAGAAAGAAGAAGTGAAGTTCTACACATTCAAAAAATACACATCTCAAAGTGAAAAAATAACGCCTTCCAGGCGAAAAGCAACAATTAAAAACAGCTATGACTACGAATCTGAGTTACTTTCTCCAACGAAAAAGTAACTGAGATTTCATTCAAAATGGACACTGAAAGCCATTTCACTAAGTCATCTAAACAATGAGATGTTTCGCAAAATAGGGAGCACCTAAGTACTCCAAGCTATGAGAAAAAAACACTAACAGCCTCGCGATTGGTCCACTTTCCATGGGAAACAGAAAGAAAGGAAACAGATCGGCGGATGCTTTTGTGAAAATCCCTCCACGTTTTAGAATCTCTCGTTTTAGAATTGCTTTAAAACTATCTTTCCAATTCACTGTAGGAAAGTGTACCAAAAATATACACGTATATACAAATATTTTACAATCTACTTTCAATCGTATGTACACTGCTTATAACACCAGGGCACTTAAGTAGGGAGACGGAGGATTATTGTTAACAGCAAAAACTAACTGTTAACTTTGCTTCACAGTCTGTGAAATTTAAATTTTAATCAATTATTCAAAGATAAGGTAAAGTTATTAAGCTATAAAATAAAATATGTATTTTATTTTGACTACATAGAAAAAATACAAATTTCAACAAAACTAATCAGATTTATCATAGAAGATTAACTTTATCGATCATTCCAAACATCCCTTATTGACAAGCAATACCGATTAAATTCAAGTTAACTCTAATCCTCAGTCAACCTATTTGGCGGAAATCCAACGGATCACCATAATTATATATTACTTTATTCGTAGGTAAATTAAAACCTAAGAGTCACTTTTTGTAGAAATGGTGTTCCCTAGGATAAGGCTTGGGGAAAATATAATTTAAGTATCGTATAAAAACAAATTACAATCTGTTTCACACAAAACAGGTTTTCGGTTTAGGAAAACATATAAAAATGGGCAAGATGCACCTTTGAGCTGTAATTGAACAAAAGTCTATAAAGAAAGGCAATCTTTCAAATGAGGTTCACGGACGTAACAAAATAAAACATTTTATATTATATTTCCGAAATATAAATATGTATTGGCCATATCAAGAGTTGATCATTACAACCACAGATGGTAATACTGAAAGGTAATACTGAATATTACACTAGAAATCTCTAGTTCATCGTCGTATTGTTAAAATCGACTCGGTGATCAACTTAGTAAAACAAATTTATTTGAAAATTCATACTTTTTTACTGCAAAACACTTAAATTTGAAAGTCTCATCAATGGTCAATTTGGTTAGAGTCTTCATCACCCATATCTATTAGATTTAGTCCTATTAAAATTATTCATAATTTTTAATTTATTAGTTTTTCTTAACATAATTCAACATTTTAAATTAGAATAAAGACGAATTAAAGATACAACATTACTTTATGATGTGATTTTATCGACTTTCTTTCAACAAATGACAAAAATTGATTAAGGTTCTGTACTATAAGTTTGTAAATTTATTTGGTGGGAACTAAAAAAGTCTTGTATGGGATTTTTATGCTGATAAAGACATCTGAAAATACAAATTTTGAAGTCTTCCAAAATTAGTGAAACAAAAACAAATCTAGAAAAGCAAAAAAACAACAAAAAACAAAAACAAAATTTAGATCTTTTCCCAAAATTAGTTAAATTCCAAAAGAAACAAATCGTATAGGCCACTGGAATACTTAAAACTACGCTGTGGACCTCACTGAAAGACTGCCGAGTCTAAGTACGAGGTTTACAAGGGCCAGACCGACTGCTACGTCTCCAGCGACGCGATCAGACTGTGGTAGACGACAGACTGGAGCTCGTTGAAGATGGACGAGTGACCGCAGGAGTAACTTGGCGTATCTCGTAACCTATCCGCCTCCAGCCGCGGCCTCTTGTCCGAGGGCGTGTCTAGGTCGACTACGTTAACGTCTTCGTCTTCATCTTCGTCAAGCGACGTGACCATACGGGGTGTCGGAGGCAGGTAGAACTGGGAGAGGACGTCTTGAACATCACAGTCTTCCACATCGTCGAACGATCTGCGGAAAAAACTGGAGGTTAGCAGGATTTGAGATTGGTGTACACCTTAGTCATGTGAGAATTGTCAACATTTTATAATGGTTTGATTGACAGAATTGCCACTTGGAGAATAATTAACTGTCATACTTGACATTACTTGTTAGTTCATGACAAGACCTGGAACTTTACTCTTTTGAAATGTCAAAGTAGCCATATCCGTATTTTAGTAAGTGGTGGTTAGCATCTTCAACAGCATTGGTACAGTTTCAATTCTCAAAATGTTAAAGGTTAGCATTTCCAGGGCTTTGAGCCATTTAGTGAAAAATCTTCAGAAAAAAATGTACAATGCTAATCTGAGCATACTAGTTCATTAAATCTCTTTCCAGAATTTAAATTAGAGATAAAAATATTCAATGTCGTTTCCACAAATTCACAGAGAACTAGAAAGCTACATGTACCAATCTAAAAATGTAGCCTAACCTTTTTCTGCCGGCGGCGCAGCGACTGGCAGGTGTTTCTTCCTCAGGAGCCACTAAGCTGTCCATGAGGTCCATGGACTCCTCACAGCCCAGGGGGTCCTCCGAAGGCTTGGCGTGGGGAGGCTTGTGAGGCTCAGGTAGGTTGGTGATGTCCACCAGTTGGTCAGACTGGGAGGTACGAGTTGTCGTAGTGGTAGCACTTGCCAGTGGGTCCACCGTGTTCTCGTCTTCCTTGAACAGGTCCGACGAGTAGCTATACCGGAAACTCTGCTGCTTCACCATCTTCTCTTCTCGAGACTCGCGTTGCAGTTTCCTCATCGTGTTGTTAATCAAGACCGACCGTCTGAGCGAACTCTCGGGGTCCTCGATCTTCTTCAGCTTGTTGATGGAAATCTTGAGTACTTTTCTTCGCTCCTGAAAAAATGGGTTTAGTTGAGAAAATGGAAAACAACAACGTTAGCCTTTGAAATTTAACAACATTTATATAGTTAATAGATCATAAAATTATTTTTAGAGTTGGTATCTGGGGTTCGAGGATATTAAAATGTATCATTTGATTTTTCCATGAAATTTCAACCATTCATGATTATACACTTCATTGAGTGTATGCTTGTAGTAATTTCTTGTTCAGCAACTTCTTATATTGCATTATGTGAAGTCTTTGTTCACCTGGATTTTTATAGCGGAGCGGAGAGTCCTTTTATTTGTGCACTAATGACTACCTATCTTTGGCTAGTGCAATGAAAATCATCCTCTTGTAGAATCTAAAACCTTTATTCATGTGCTTTTTTTTTGTATTGATGTTGACTAATATTGTTTACTCTTTACAGTTTTAGTAAGTTATACAAGAAAGCTAGTAAAGTAATTTTAGGACCTTAATATTATTTTCAGCTGATCGTTAAGAGAGGTTTAAAACGGAATTCTCACCTCTTTTTGTCGGTACTTGGCGCTGATCATGGTTGGGCGCGCCGGCCGACCACAGAAGCTTGTGGGGTAGGTGCGAGGGGCGTCGAACATGTCGTCGTCATCCTCGTGTTGTTGTTTGGCGGGAAGGGAGTTGTTGTTGTGGTTGACGAGTGGCAGCCCGGACCTCATCTCGTCGTCCAGTAGGCCTGGCCCTCCTGCAACAACAACCAAAAGTTTGAGGTTCGATTCTTTCAATTACAGAATGTTTCTACTATGTGTAAGATGTTGATATATTGAATAGAGTATGGTAGTTAAAATATCCTATTCGTTTTTTCATAGTCAGTAAAAATATCCTATTGGTTTTTTTTTTCACATTATTTCCAACAAATAAACAAGCAAACAAATGAATGAATGCTTAGGCTATAATCCTGTAAAGACAAATCAACATGAAAGTAGCTATGCCAATCAATATCCAAACATGTATCCGTGGCAATCAATATTTAAGCATGCGGCCGTGTCAAGACGGTGGCAAGGGGCAGGATGCGAGTTAATTGGCGACTTTGCCTTCAATTACGGGGCATTGTCTGCCTGCTCCTGAACATCTGCCTACTCCCTCTCTCTCACACACTCCGGCCGTAGCCACCGTACTACGCCTGCGCTTTGTAAACTATCCGTCAACCTGCCTCACCCTTGGACTCCAGCTGTCCGAAACAATCTTTGGCAAACAATGCAGGAGAAACATCTGATCCAATTTGGATAGTGTTAGAGGAACAGCTGATCCATATCGGAAACATGTGTATGATTTTTCACGGGTGAATCAAGGCAACGTTTCTTAAAATAATATGTTACAGACCAACATGTATAGTAACTGAATTTTAATACAGTTGTGTTCCACATACTAAGAGCAAATCTAAGAGCGTGTACATTCGGGATGAGCTTAATTGAACTATCACGTGAAAAACATAATCATCACATTCAATTAAAACCCTATCAAGGTCGATAGGGCATTGTTGACAAAGTGATGAAATCCTGTTGATTAAAACATGGAGCAGGCGTGATCGAAAAGAGCATCGGGTAAATAAAACCATTACTCACAATTAACTGAGGGAGCTAGATGGGGAGAGATGATTTGCATACAGAGGGTGCATGAATTTACACTGGGAGACGACAAGGGGTTAAAGTGTATAGCACTAACACAGAATTATGTAGTACAAATAAAATGACATCATTTAATTAAAGCGGAGCTGGTGTCAGAATTTAATTTGGATATTACAAGTAGTCTATGTCTTATTTTAGAATAGAAAAGCGTATTTTGACGTGTTTCATAATGGTTTCATGCTCGGATACGCTTGAGTAAGCCGATATCGACTAAAAGCTCCCCTCATATTATTCAAGGTGATTCTTCAATGTGTAATTTACGCTTTGGTAATGATAATGCCATAGGAAAAGAAATACTTTGCAAATAAATCTATTTCTTTGAAAATCAGGAATACTGTAATTTAATTTGCAATAATTTCTGGAAAATTACTTTTAAACCACAGTATAGGCCGACTATTTAAAGTCATTGAAACTGTCCTTTCACAAGTCGCTCTCTATATAATATATGAGATGAACCCAGTATCTTCTCTTTTTCTTTCGCGCGCGAAACTTTAGCAACAAAGCACATACTACGGCTGTATCATTGAAATCCATTCGGAACGCTGTAACGAATGTATTTCCAACACGTTCAAGACTAGATCCGCGACTAAAAAGTTGCCTGTGTGCGCACTCCAGCTCAACTGTCGCTAGACTTCAGTCAGAGTCTCCGAGAGAGTTGCGCAACAGTCCCCCGATTAGTCGGGCAACTGTTGCGCAACTCAAAATCGCCTGTGTGCGCCTGGCCTTAGAAGAAAAGGATTCATTTGATGGTTCCTCTTGTAGATTTTGTCCTTTAAGAAAAGTTAAATGCTATAAAAACTTATTGCCATCCATATGACAATTGTCGGCAAAGAAGATCACGCAATTGTCGGCAACACAGACTGGCCAAGTATGTAGCGCTCCAAGCGGCGGCGTCGGCAACCACCTTGTCTGACAGCCAGTTTCAACATTGATCATGTTATGTAATTAGTGGTAAATGACCTTGTTGATTTACTCGCGGCCTACACAATCTGTTTTGCGAGAATTACCGTCGCATTGTACACTACGTCACATTTTGGCGCACTGGTTGGCTTTCGTGAACAATTAGTTCTGTGTTGGCGAGCGATTCTATGAATTACAGCTAAACAGCTTTTCAGAAGTGAGCGGATAACGTTTCACTTGAAAAGTTTAATCATTGCAGGAAATTTGCAAACTATAAGTGCAAAATAAAATATTTATATGTTTTATAATTATCAAGCACAGAACCCTTTTAGTATTGACAGTTTTTTCGAATTAAACTTACTGTAAACTATAGAAGTAGGCCTAGTAAAATTTATGTTTTCAAGTTTAATACACAACAGTTAATTTTTAGACTACCGGTACAACATGGACAACTGCATATAAATATACTTAAATAATTATTGTCATAGTAAGTTGTGAATGACTTAAAAATTAATACATATGTGACTGTTTTATCGGTTTAATTTGTTTAATAGTTTAATCATTTTTAGTTTTTATTTCGTATTTAAAAAGTAATTGTCTCGTAAATAATTGTAATCACCCTGTATAACAAAAGAGTTGATTTACAGTAGGCCTTTTATGTTCAGAAGTAAAATAATAATTTGTTAATTACATTTCAAAACTATATTGTACTGTACTTTAGAACCTCATCCCACTAAAGTGACACAATAAACAAAGCGCGAGACGCAATTCAAGAAAACACGCAGAGCAAACTACACATGTAATCAAGTCAATGTTTGTTCTGTAAGCGTCGTTTGTGGACTTAGTTCCCGTAGCGACCGCTAGATAGTAGAGCGACCTCAAAACACTGCTTAGAACTGTACAATTTGGCTGTTTGCCCTCACAGTTGAAGAGAATGTAATAAACATTTGCTCTTCTTTGTTTTAATGCTTTAACTTCTATCTGTATACATTTGTCTTGAAATTGGCCGCATTCTCTTAACTAAGAGAAGAAAATTCCGATATTGTGTTACTGTTGTATGATCTTTCAATCTATGTGCTGTGTAACTTAATAATATGAAAAGTTTACACTCATGTTGTTGTAACAATAATGAAGACAGTGCAGGTTTAGAAAGTGTTTAGTTTAACCCAAATTAACATAAAAATGCCTTTATTGTGTTCCAGACAGATTTACTAACAAAGAGTGATATTTAATTGAATCTTAACACAAACCTAACATAAAACCAATTCGGCGACTTTCTTTCTTATCTTACATTATTTCACAGCCCCATTAGTAAGCTTTACCCCAAAAATTCCCTTTTTGTACCCCTGTTTGTAATTCAATATGTACCAAAATGCTAACGCACTTTTACCCACACCAACACAAAAAATTCCTTACCCTCTACCATATATTTATAACAAAGAACGGTACTTCATTCATCCAACAACCAGTAGTAAATACATTTCAATCTCACCGAGAACACATCCATAAACTAAAGGGAAGCCCTCGAAAATCCGTTACACTAACATTATCATCATTCACGACCCCATTACCAACATAACCGTCCAAAATATCCCTCTCCGTGGTAAAAATCCCACTGTCAACACCGAGTAAGTCACGAAATTAAAACAAAGAGCCTGACAGATGCCACTGTACACCGGGAAGGGAAGTGAACGCGTTTATGTAATAAGGCAAGTGGGGAACCCTACAGTATAGATAACCGCAATTGAGGGGGGATATTTGGGGGGGCGGGGGCAGGTGACGCGCGTGGCTAGGAAACAGCTGTCTGTCTGTCTGCGCCTGATTTGTAGCTCACGTGTTGAAGAGCCGTTCCACATTTCGGTAGAATATACGACGCGCGACCAAGACGCTTAATTGAAATTGTTGCTTTGAAGTCGAGATTCGGTAAATTGAAAAGGTGTTGAAGTATTTAAACTTTGGAGATTGGGGTGTGAGAGATTGTTTTTACGTGACAGAGTGGATTCGTTTTAAACGTTTTAGAATTAATTTTTAGTTAGGACTAAATCGACAATTTACGTTAGAACTATTGACTGTAAACCTTATGTTCTTAGCAATACGGGAGCTTCCCTGAACGGGATACTCCCGTATTGCTAAGGGTGTAAAGAAATTTTCAATCATTGGTAAACCTCAGAAAAAATCAATTCTAAGAATCCACACAGTGCTAAACGGAGTTAACACCTTTTTTAGGTAAAAAATCACATTCTTCTTAGATATAGGTTTACACAAATTTAAATTAGCGTACCTAACAATCTTTAGCCTACCAACTTCAAAATTCTCTTTGTTCCAAAAAAGAATTATCTTCAAAAACTCCACTACTTATAATTTTAACTCTAGCGGCGTATCAGATTCCAAATCCGTTGAACTTGATCCACAAAATAGGCTACATGTATTTACAATGACTTTATAAACAACGATACACAAATTGCACTTCAACCAAACCCTCTCAACCACAAATGCCACAACGCACAATCTTCGCTGCAAGTCCCATAACCAGAGATTGACAAGTTTATAAACAGCAATTGAAGGGGTAGAAGGGTGTTTACCCCTCAGTCACCCCTTCCGCTCACTCTCGATTGCTTCTGTTAAAAGGTTTCCCTGCAACTCGGGTGTTGGTTTCTCGGGTCAAATTCTGCCAGGCTGGGACAACTGCAGTAATGGAGGAATAGATTCAACGGTTGGATACTGATTTTGGTTAACTTAAGTATTGAAAATTCAATTCCTTCGGTGCAAAAATAGCTTAGTTGCCTAGTTGGTTTTGTCAGCTAACAATAATAATACTGTACTTCGTGTTGAATGGACAAACATGAAATCCTACAGCTTAAGTCAATAAATAATAAAAGATTGTAAGAAACGTATTTGGGATGACCATAGAATTAACCTAAAAGATTGTGAATGGAAATTGGACAGGAATACTTTAAAATATCGATAAGTTAGCAAATATCGGTGGAATTTCTAAAAATAAAACAGATTTTCTTCCTTTCTATCTTTCATGAAAATTGTAAATCTTACTTGAAAATGAACAATGTAAATAACATTTTTTACTAAACAAAACTATGAATTTTGCATGTATTGTATACTAAAACAAACGGCAAACAAAAAAAAAATCAATTCTAAATAG